TTAGTGCATTTTAAGTGTATTTATTTATTTATTGGTCCATTTATTTATTTATGCTTTGATTTAAAATTATGTCAGTTTTGGTCCTCCATACTCAACTTTATCTTGAAACAGTACTGCTCTATGTGCTGAGGATGACTCTCAGCTTCTACCACATAMATATTCTCTCAGTATCTGTAATTCTGAGTAAGTTGTTGGCAAATTTGTCCAGACTGTCATGAAATAGTTCAGTAATGGCACAGAAAAACACACATACACACATTTGAGAAACAACATTGTTGCTCCACCTTCAGTTCAGAGAATGAGGGCTGAAAGTGAAGCAATAGTGTGGAAAGAAAAGAGACAGTAAGAGATGCAACAAAAGAAAGGAAACTGGAAAGAAAAATATTTTTTGTTCTTGTCTGCAAAAATGGAGAATTTTAACCTTTATTCATCACGATGCAATTCAGAACATAAGAGCATATTGACTAGTTGCCAGGAAGAAAACAGAGGCAATTATATTATAAATAAAATGAACTGGCCTCTTTTCTTTCCATTTATTTCCTTTCCTAAATCCCTGTTCTGCACATTCCCTGCAGAACTGTTTCGACTCTTAAAATTTATTCTACAGCACAAGGTTTGCCCTCTATTTTTCTTTCTTGTACAAGTTTTGTCTTTTGATTMGTTTTTTGTTGCTTTTATCTAGTTCCCGTTTTCCTCTTTTCTGCATTGTTTATTCTTTTCCAACCTCCTTCCTTTACATTATTCTGTAGCGCCTCTTTGCGTGTATCGGCTCTCTCCCTCTTCCGCACACTTTATTGTGCTACTCAGGTGAAATGCAAATCACATCTTTATATCAAAGATGCCAGCCCTCCAGGAAGCACTGCTTTCATGTGATGAAACTTGCTTATAAGCCTTTCAAAGCTGTAAAGCCAAGGCTGAATATTAACACTCCACATTATTGACCTTCTCCTTCCACGATCCTCCTTTGACAGTTACACTTACTGAGTCAATGAACAACAACTTGTTGAGCTGAAAGCATTCAGCATGTTCACATTAGGTGGAACAGTAGAATTTGTTAGACTGAAAAGACATAATGCACGCCCTTGTGATAGTGATTCAAGGGATTGTTCTGGATGTCAAGGTTGGGTGTTCCTTCTTTCCTTTGCTTCATTTACAATGAGTTCTCTTCAATTGATACTGAAATATGTTACAAGTCTTCTTTTACAGTTCTTTATCTCTGTTTTTATTTTAACCAAGGCTTGCCTATCAATATATTGCATCCATCTCAT